CTGAGGAAGTCAGATCAAACACGTAGAGTCCAGATGAGAAGACCCTGATATTTGGTATAAAAGCAGTGAGTCACACACCTTTACTCATTTTGTTTAGCACTTTTTGCATTTTGCACTTTACATTTGTGCTATGTGTTGTATGGTCTGAAGGAAGTAGAAGCTAGCTAGCTGTCATTTAAGCAGCCATCAGAGTACTTTATTCACTATACTTTACTTAAATTTGCATCCACCTTTGCATTTGCACTTTATCTATTTGTGCTATGATCTTTGTGCTGTGAAGGACTTTTGATGTGAGCTTTCTGCTTTCAATATACAAAATAACAACTTCAACTTATATACTATCATGTCTGCCAGACAACAGACTCACCTTAGGTCAGAGACAGACACAACATCCTTTGTCATGATTCATTATTCTTACAACACGGCTGGAAAATGTAAGAGTGGTTTGACTCATGAATCAAGTTAGGGATCCCCCCTCAGGTATAACATTTCATGATGCAGGTTACTAAACAGTTTCAGCTATGAAATGAAGCAAAGATTAGTAATGAAACAAGCACTGATAGGCTTTGTTAGAATAATGTTAAGAATAATGTTTCATACACAGGACAACTTAAACTCAATTAAATTTGGCAGTGAAAAAAAGGCAACTGCAATGTTACTGTGTATATACCCTAATGCTACCCACAAAGACACTTTCTATCAAAGGTGTCCCCAAGTGGTGTGCCAAGTGCACTCCCTAATGTAGGGTTCAACTGTCCTGAGCAGGCAGATGCCATTCATTTTCCCCGCGAGTGGCAAAAACCAACGGCGGGGGAGCCGGGCCTACAGTGCGGGGAGCTGAGTGCAGCACACTGGGGTTTTCTGGACACAGGAGGTAACCTGCCCACGGCAAACAGCCATCCGACCCCTAAAGAGCCAGACATGGTGCGCAAGAAACCCACCCCTAAAAACAGGCAAGATATCAGCCACATTCTGGCGGCCCCGACACGCACTAGAGGTATGGCCGCTACACAGCCTGATACTACTCCAACACCACCCATGGCAGGAATAGTAATAACTAAAGTCCCAGCCATAGCAAACGGAATGGCCCCATCCACAAAGCAAGACATACACAACTTACTTATGCACTTCCAAAACATGTTCTCGACAGAACTAAATCTGGTTAAGACAGATGTGCAAGCAGTGGTTGACAGGGTACAAGCTACTTAGCTTAGAACATATCTCCACCAAGGGATGACTACCCTGAATGAATCTGTAAAGCAACTAAGAGCACCACACACCTCATTATCCACACAAGTGGACCAGTTGGATGACAGGGGAAGGCAACGTAACATCAACATCCGAGGGGTAGCAGACTGACTCCCTCCAGAAGAAATTCCCCACTTCATAAGGCGCTAGGCCGCAACTATCCTGCCTGTGAAATCCGCCAAACAATTTGCCTTTGACAGGGCATACCGCATCACAATATCCTCACAAGCGCCCACCACAGCTCCTAGAGACTTAATCATGTGCTGTCAAACCGTCGCAGATAAACAAAGACTCCTCACGGCGCTAAAAGGGAAAACCCCACTTCAATTTGAAGCACACAACATTACCTTTTTTCAAGACCTCAGAAGGCCCACCTTACTGTGGAGGAAATCAATGAAACCCATTACCAAAGCTCTACAAACTGCAGGACTTACCGCTGGACGTACCCAAGATCCCTCACAGTAATTCAAGAAGGGAAGACCCTGTAAGCAACAAGCCCCACAGAGGGTCCGGCCTTCCTTCAGTCCCTGGGCATAGCTGAAGCAACTCCATTGAGGAGTCCCAACCCTCAATGTGACGTCTCAGCAATCACTCCCTTGTGCCAGGGAAAGAATGGGACTCTCTGACTTAAATCTTAATGACCAGATTGGAACCAACTGTTTCATTTTAATCCTTTACCTTTATGCTTATATTACCTTTATTTTTGTTACTTGTATATGAATAACTATGCCTACTTACTACTGATATCCACACAACCGCCAAATAGTGTACAACCAAGTGCTGCTATAGCAACAGAAACCCAACGCTCATAATGTCATAGGGTGTTATAAGCTTACACCCCCACCTCCTCCCCCCCCCATTGCCTCATAGGTTAGATGCCTGTACACCATCCGGAGACACAATAACACCACAGATGTATAGTCTCACTTTTTAGCCTAAACGGCGGAGAAGGCAGATACTTCAATTACCTACCCCCATGCTCTTGGGCATCACTAATCTACCAATAGTTATTATTTTAAAAAAAAAATAGGTGAACACACTAGACACCATTATTGCAAATCTTGACCTAGTTTATCACTAGGTCAGAAATAGTTTATATGTTATCTTTGAAGTTTAGTTCAGTGTACTTAATTATCTGCTATCATGTAATCTATTATTTTGCCTATTTGGGTGTATTTATGTTAGAGTAAAGCTCTAAGCACCAAAACCACTTCACTTTATCTTAAAGGACCAATAAATTCACCCAGACCAATGAAGTGGTTTGGGTGCATTGGTCAGTTCATTCTAATCCTACAATGTAATACGTTTGGCCGCACATGCCTTGTTCCAATCCATTGCTTCTCTTTGAAAAGCAGTGGAGTGGATGAGATCGTGCGTGAGGTCAACGTCGATGATGACATCCCCAGAAGAGAAGAAGGAGGCTGCAGTGGAAGAGTGCTGGTGCTGGAAACAAGAAAAGTAAACGTTAATGTAATTCTACCAAGCAAAAGGGGTCTGTGATCACATCACTATATGGGAAGCAATAGTCCAGACATAAAAAAAGGTTTTTTCAAGACTGTAGGATCCCTTTAATTAAGTGGTCTTAATTCACAGATATTGTCCCTGCTGCCTGGGAATGTAACATTTTCCTGTTTCAGAATGTTTACAATAGTCTAAATCAAATACTTTGACAAATAGTGCTTGGGCAGTTTAGCCTAGTGCTCAGCCTATAATTTTTGTTGGATGGATAATGCAGACTGTAGAGAAGGCAGGTTAAGGGTGCTAAAGAGAGTTTGAAATGGTGAATTGATTTAAAACTATTAAAGAAAACTGAGTGACAACAGACTTATACTCATATAACCATTACAGCTGTAGTGATGATGGTGCTTAGGGTGGTAATTTGGTAATTTGTTATGCACACCATCATGGGAGATATATTATTATGCAAACTACTACAGTGGAAGAGTTTCAGACCAAAGGTAGTTCATACTGCCCCTCCTGCATATATTGACTTATACCCTACCTAAAACTTTGCCCTATATCACATTTTGTCCAATCTAAATCCTTACATGTTTCACGAATCACATTACGACGCCAAACTTTTGAATGATTTGACATTGTTGTAAAAACATATATAAATATATATATATATACTCCACACCTGGTATATTAACCTAACTCTATGCTGTATTAGCCCTGCTCCAACGGCATTAATGCCAAAACTTGCACCATCAAACCTGCACCGACTACTTTATAACCCTGTCCCCACAGGGATAACAGTACACTGTGCTGTACAATTAGATACAAATATAGTGTATTTAAAAAGGCACTCTCGCAAATTATATAATTAGAGGTGTTTTTTCTTAATATGATCCCTAAATAATAAGCACACTTTGTGGGAAACAAATGAATATTCCTGTTGACCTTTTTAAATGCAGAATCATATCCCAGATCTACATTGTATAAAATATGTTTTCTATCTACTGCTTGCGAATAGGGTTTGAAACCTCCTATCCATTTATTCTTATAAAGTTTAGTCCTTCACGCATTGTTACGTGACTAGCAGTGAACTCGGGACTCATGTCGTGTCACTCAGTTAATATCTCACACTAAGATATTTGTATCTTGTGAAGCATCTTTCCTTGCTAAGGGATCTTTCAGCCCAGAGCAAACATGAGATAAAGTAGTTGTTAAAGGAGCAGTATAGGGTGCTCTTTGTATTCTTGAGATCAATGTAATAAAGCATAATTAACTTCAATGGATAGGCTTATTGAGGTTTTTTTTGTGCAATGTTTTCGCGCAAATACACAGTTCTTTCAATCACTTTACCCTGTCCCCTGACATTTTCTTTTCAGTGAAAATGCACCGGAGAGAACATGTAGAAATATACATAATTGTAAGCAATGTTTATTTACTATAACATGGCCGCATATACAACGCAGCTATCTTTCACTTGAGGATACCATGTGCATATGACATCCCAAAGCTATTTTACAATTGACAGATGCAAATAATATGAAATCATTCAAGGTCATTCACTAAAGTGAGAATTCAAATAGATTTTCAAATTAAAGGACAAAAGAGACAAACTGAAAAAAAAGCTATGCTTTCAGTTTGGCTACTCTGGAATTAAATTTAAAATCACTTTGAATTCTCACTGTAGTGAACACCCTTGACTGTGTCACTTGAACTATACTTTCACATAAAAAAAAAATGCATTCCTATTTTATATATTACAAATCAAGTTATAAAACCTTTTCTTTGGGGGGGCGGAGCCTGACTGCCATGCTGTGCAGACGTGTGCAGCGTGAGCTCCTGCACTGGACACATTATTATCTTTATTTACTGCAGTCAAATAAGAGTGCAGCATACCTTGGCGTTTAGCGTGTATAACATACGTCATGTCATTCATCAATGTGTCACTTGAACTATACCTTCTCATAAAAAAAATGCATTCCTATTTTATGTATTACAAATCAAGTTATAAAACCTTTTCTTTGGGGGGGGCGGAGCCTGACTGCCAAGCTATGCAGACGCATGCCGCGTGAGCTCCTGCAGTGGGCACATTGTGGCCTAAGTGCACGAACAGCAGGGGAGAGATGGCCGCTCTCTATTGCTGATACACCCTAGCTCACTATGACATCCCTGCTCCCCCACCTCCCTTTGGACCAGCGGGGATTATCCCTGTTCCCACTGGGGCACTGCTGAAGTCCTCCTGAAACCTCTCACAAACCTGCTGGCACCTTGGGGTGGAGAGGCCTACTCGAAACAAAATGCCCGCCATGCTGAGACCTACAGCCACAGCGGTCGACTCAAACCCGCCAACATACATGGATACCTTCCTAAAAGCTTTTGACAAAATATGTCGGCAATTCTGGGACAAGCACTACAGCCAGACACCTACCTCTGCTCCTCCAGTCCAGGCTGAGGTCCCCCAGAGGTGCATGATCAGCCGTCCTCGCATCCCCACATGTGTGCGGCATTTCCCCACATGGACTTCGCAGAACAAAAAGGAGCAACAAGCCATCCTGGCGTACACTCACCCTGCACAACTTAGACCTACAGGTCGGCTGCAACTCACCCCGCCAAGGGTGATGTACACTGCTCCATCCTCACCGTGACCTATACGGTCCGATGGATTACACATCAAAACACCAAACAAACCCAGCAGGCCGGTTGCATCAACAGAAGTGTTGGACTCAGGGACGTTGAACAATGGCACCCTCCAAGGCCTGGAGCCGAAATTGCAGAGACCTGTGGCAATCCCGACTCACTGCATACAGGCAACAGGCCACCCACCAAGCCCTGACATACCTCATGGAGGTGAGAGGAGAAAACACCTGCCGCCCGGCAGCGATATACACCAACCATCACAAGTTCCCAATTTTGGGTACTGGCTGATACCGGCCTCACTACTCCAGGCTTGTGACATGTTTCATACAAGTGTTTTTCTCATGCCATTTGCTCACAACCTGCATTTCTATGTCTCTTGATGACTTTCAGCCTACCTGTTAGCAACGACCTTAACTATTTGATCTTATTTGACTTAACTCTACCTGTGTGCAGTGCATTAACATAGTGGATAATGGGGACCCAGTGATCTTCTAATCTTGGCCATCTAGTTTGTTAAACAATACTTCATGTATATGCCAGTATGTCCCTTATTGCAAATCCTAGCCTACAACCTAATGCACGTACCAATCTTGTCTACCCAGGCAGGGTACTTATTGTCAGTTGGAAGCTAATGTTTTATTATTTGTTTTACTCTATCAACTACTTCTTGTCTTACCTTTTCTACCCACAAAATAAAAAACAAGAGTGCAGTATATCTTGGCGTTTAGCATGTATAACATATGTCATGTCATTCATCAATATTGATCTGTGATCTGTTTACTTAACTCTGCACTTATAAAAATAAAAAACTTTATTTTATTATAGAGAGTAGTTCTGAACTTGGCAAAAATCTCTTTTAACCCTATTGAGCCTCGATGATATAACTGTTAGTCATAAAGCTGGCTGCACATCATGAGGTGCATAGTTCATAGCAGATGCATTGCCAGAGGTTTCTTACATTTATTTAGCACTCTACAGAATTAAGTAAGACCTGCAATGTTTTTACCAAATGTTTTCTAACCTCAATAACAGAAACTTTGTATAGTATCACATGAATGACATTGTGTGTCCAGTTCTCTGATTGCATGTTGTTACAAAACTGAACAGGAAATTTTGGTCACATAATAAAGCCTTTGTTTCTGTGGTTTTTCTACGCCCCCTTCCCTTCCTTTTTACCAAACATGTCCCTCTCAAGTCGAAAATGGAAAGCAGGAGGTGCATTTAAGGAATGCCTCTGTGTTGTGGTTCAAGGTAAATAAAGTGCTTGAGAGTTCTTTGTATAGAATGATATTCAAGCACACAAAAACACATCTTGGAAAGCTGCTGGTTTACAAACTATATATTCAGATAACATATAAAGGTTTAATAGAATTTTGTCATTACACTGAGGCCCTGGTTTATGGCAATATATGGTATTCTTTAGCTAGTAAGGAATAACCTCGGCACTGCAGATATTTGTGAAAGGAACACTCTGGGCCCTAACATAACGTGTATATGGTTTTGGTTTCATACTCGTTTTTATCCCTTTTCAAATCTCTTTAGTTTCCATTAAAAAAGAAGCAAATTTTGCAAATCTATGCAGGTTAAGCTTGTACATTTAGTCATGCTACTTTTTGCTAATGCAACTACTTTAGTGGATGTATTTTGAGTACATACTCAACTCAGAAAATGATTGATCTGTATGAACTGAGCTACTGACTTAGCTCCATTGCTACAGCCAATCACTGGTTCCTAAAGTTGTGCTTAGGGAAAGGATACAAATAATAAGCACACAGTGATTGGTTATGAGGTAGTGTGATATCAGAAGCTCAACTCCTGAGTATAAACTTAAATTGTGTCTAATCAAATGCATTATGATGGTACCCAGAAAAATGAGCATCATGGGAGATATATCTCACCAAGCATATGTTACCAATAAACATCATGGGAGCTATATCTCACAAATGAGATACATTCCCAAGATAAACTATGAGCAATGCACTTCACAGACAGATGTATTGCCAATTAATTTATACAGGACTCCCAGGCATGTGGTAACCACTGAAAAATACACAGAATAAAATAGTAGGGTCCTTCTATAGAATGTATGAAAGATCAAGAATCAACATAATCTTTACCTCATTATCCGGTCATGGATCGCAAATGTTGTAAAAATTGGCAGTGGTGTTGTGAATGGTAGCTGTCCATGCTGTATTGTCTTTAATTTCAAGAATTGCTTTATGTAGTGTAGAAGAGACAAGTAGGCTGAATTTGGCCAAGGAGCTCTGAGCTGCTAAGTCAATTTTAGTAAACAATGCATGTTCCACGGATGTAAATTACTCATGAATCTTGAATATACAATATGACCAAGAATCTAGGGAATTATGGTTATTGAAGATTTTAGTGGCCAAACAATGAACTTTGACGCAGGACATTTGATTCATCAGGCATGATTACCAGATATGATCATTTCATCTAGTACATTTTACAGCAGTCATCCATAGGAGTCTGGCCTGCACACAGCAACTTAAAGGAACACAATAAGCACCCAGACCACTTCATCTCAATTTGTCCCATACCCCCACAGTGGGGTATTATACCCACCCCTCTCCCTGTTATTTTACAGGCACCATGCCCATGGGCAGCAAAGGCTAGATATGCCCCAACTTGCAATGTTAAAATCATCAGTTATAGTAAAAAAAATTATGTATTTATTTACATTTTAATGTGGTGGCTGACTAGCAATTACTGGCAAACACATGCTTAACACTGACACTGCTGATGGCTATTTCGCTATTTGCCCGCTGACAGCCGGATGCACTCGAATAGAGTTTTGTTTAAAATTGGTGCTCTGTGAATATTCTGAATCATATACTTTGTATAGGGTTCAGATGTGAAATTAAATATTAATCTTGATATTGAGCATATGTGGGAGATTGCGGCAGTTCCTTCAGACTGACCAAACTGAAGTGAAATTTAAAAAAAATACTCAGCAGTTACTGTCCAATAGGTATGTGTACTTTAAAGGACCACTCTAGGCACCCAGACCACTTCAGCTTAATGAAGTGGTTTGGGTGCCAGGTCCTTCTAGGGTTAACCCATTTTTTTATAAACATAGCAGTTTCAGAGAAACTGCTATGTTTATCAATGGGTTAAGCCTTCCCCCTAATCCTCTAGTGGCTGTCTCATTGACAGCCACTAGAGGCGCTTGCGTGCTTCTCACTGTGATTTTTCACAGTGAGAGCACGCAAGCGTCCATAGGAAAGCATTGTAAATGCTTTCCTATGCAACGGGCTGAATGCGCGCGCAGCTCTTGCCGCGCGTGCACATTCAGCCCAGGAGGAGGATCAGAGGAGGAGAGGAGGCAGAGAGCTCCCCGCCCAGCGCTGGAAAAAGGTAAGTTATTAACCCTTTCCCCTTTCCAGAGCCGGGCGGGAGGGGGTCCCTGAGGGTGGGGGCACCCTCAGGGCACTATAGTGCCAGGAAAACGAGTATGTTTTCCTGGCACTATAGTGGTCCTTTAATATGAGAAGTCAAAGATTTGGCGTTAAGAGATTTGAGGATTTGGCTTTAGTAAATATGAGAATTGCAATTCCAAAATCTCAGAATTTGGACGTTTTCACTGGTGTTTAGTAAATAATGCTGTATATAATTACTATTCAATACTAAGCTTATCTTTAAAAAAAACTTTTAAAGGAAACGTTAATACAGCACACCAACAGCAGTTTATTCTATATTCATTAATTATTGTAACCTTTTTCTGTTTACAGGAAACCATAAATGTGTAAAAGCAAATATTGCTTGTAAGAGCAGTTTACTGATTTCTTCATGATAAATATGGAAATTACTGGGTGGGGTAGACTGAGGTTGATGTTTGAGGCCTGATGTAATACTATTTTCAGAAGTACCTGAAACTGCCTGTTTTCATTTTCTCACTATAAACATGTAGCAATGTAAAGGAATGGAAAAGGATGATTCAGTGAGGTTAGAATGACAATGTGAAATCTTGCAAACATGACCAAGTACAGGAAATCCGCCGATTCAGATTTTGCACAAGTCAACAAGCACCCGATAAAGCTTTTACTAAAACTGTTTCTACTATCATCACTTTGACCACAATGTCAGGTGCAGATCAGGTTCACAAACGTCTGGCTGGCAGAGGTGTATTTCTCAGTTTGAGTCACGTATACTGATAGAGAAGACATCTTTTAAAGAAAATCTTATGCAGTATTGCATTATCAACAATTATTTCTACACAACCTGCAGTAATTTTACCCAGGTATCAGTGGAGTTAGCCAGGATTTGCTTCACTGCCCAGGAATTGTGTTCTATATAAATATACTCAGTCCGAGTACTCCGTGCACAGGCTCACACAATTATAGGCAGTAGGCATGTACACACTGCCCAATGCAATTCCTATGACAGAGTAACTGGAAATAAATAATCCTTGATGCTATATCATCTGGTGAATGCAGGTGGGTATTAAACAATCTGATAGGTGCAACCAGAATCTGGAGGATTCCTAACAACTGTTAGGAGGCTAAGGTCTTGTTCTTGAATTCACAGTCATAATAGAATCCTTAATATCAAGAAATTACAAGAATAAAAGGGGCTTATCAAATCTTTCTTAAAAATCACTCAATAAAACGTATGCTTGTTAGCAGCACCATATAAAGTGCAACAACCCAAATATACATATATACAAACAATATATTTTTTAAAAGTGTATAATTTAAAAAAATTGCACATATATTTAATAAAATGCAAATAACAGTAGTGTTTTACCCAAGCTTCAATAAAGTGCATAAAGCAGTTGTGCGATTTGTGCAAAAGTGCTTCTAAGTCAGAAATTAATGTCATTCCATAAATAATGAAAAACAGGAAGGTGTACAATACACCAACGAAGTGGAACATGTAAGGTGTACTATAGGATACACCTACCTTTGTTGGGACGTAGGGATTAAGCTGTAAAATGGCGAAAAAAGGGACTAATAGTGTAATAACGCTGTAACGGACCATCAGCACCACA